TGCTTCTGTGGGAATTTGGGGGGAAATCACAGTGCCAGAAGATTCCATACAAGCTCAATGATCATGTAGTGCCTTAGAGACCGAATTCACTGGGACTTTTGTAAATTCCAGTGGAATATTATTCTGCACATTCCAAATATTTTACGCAGAATTTCTTCTTTAGTCAGAATATTGCAGTGGCTTGTAATCTGTTTCTGGCCAGTGTTCAACCAATGAGCTATGCCCCCTTCGGTAACTCTGTTGCTAAAACTAGCTTTTGATTTCTATATGGCTTCATTTTTCACTCATCCATAATTGTTATTGCCTTCCTCTTTTTGTATTTGAACCCCACATTATGTTTGAACTCCCACTGCTATTAAGCAAATCACTTTCATTAAGGTTACCTTTCTGAAATTCATTAGATCACACATTTTCCATTTTTTATCCAAGGATGTTTATTAAACACCCCCTTTTACTAATTAGTGCACTGACAATTTGGGTGTTCATTAAAATCAGTTTAATGACTTTTGATAATTGTTGTGTGGCTGAATACATGATAAATTCTACTAAATCCAACCTTTATTTGCTGTACCAAAAGATATTCACAAGTGAAATGAAATCTTTGTTCTGTCACAGGGTTTCTGCTATGAAGGAGACATGATAGGAAAGGAACTCCCGTAAGCATTCCCACCCCCAATCCACAAATATGTGGGAGGTAAAGAAGAAGTTTGGAAAAGTCTGGCAACTCCCAGATGAACATAGAAGGCAGGGGAAAGAAGGAAGCAAGAACGCCTTGGACTGTGAATGCAAACCCTTTTCGGATCATAGAAGGAAAGTTAGAATCCAAGCCAACAAAAAGAATTCCAGAGAAATATTCCTCCCAACTATTAGTAGAGGTCTCATTTTACTACATTGGGAGTTGTCTTGCAGTATATTTAGTATTTCAAAACAGCAGTGTTTATTGACAACCTGATAACATGCAAGTTACTTTAAATCTGATTAAGAGAGATTAAATAGCATCGCTTAGATCCTGTGGTAGATCACATGCAATGGAGCAGTCTTGAGCCAGCCTTGACTGTAAACCACCTTTGACTTTCAAAAGTGATTTGCAGTGGGGAAAAGCACACTTCTTTGAAAATGAAGAAAAATAAACTCTGTTGCCTACTTGTATCTGGCACAGTTGCTTTGTACCTATTCAGTAAGAGTCAAAAGTCACTGAAATGTTCATATCAATGTCATCAGTTTAGGATACGGGTGTAATTTATGTAATATATAGTCCTGTTATTTGAGTAAGTGAGCAAGCACATTTTTGCTGGTGATGACCAAAGGTCAAAGCAAAACAAAAACACTAAAAACTAAAGTCACCCTTAAGTTTGAAAAGAAAGGTATGCAACTATTTTCCTACAGAACCATAAAATCATGTATAAGGTGTTACAGCTTTGCTATGAAGTCAGTATATACTCTTTAAACACAATAATCTCTAAGCAGTGTAAAATAAGTGTAACAAGCGCAATATAAATAAAATATGTTAAAAGCTAACTAGAATTGGAAATTAATTCTAACTAAAATTAGAAAAGGCTAGAAATGCGCATTGAAATGAAATGGTCTGTTCTAGAAGCTGTAAATTCAACAGAGAAGGACCTGTCTACTGTCAGCTGGAAAGGAGTTCCACAAAATTGCTCCTCCAACACTGAATATGTGGTTTCTGGTAAATATGACCAGTGTGTATGAGCTGTGGGTGACAACTAGCAGTGACTCTCCTGAAAACGTCAGTGATCAGGCAATAATATCAGCCAGGTGATCCCTAAGGTATCTCGAACCCAAATTGTTAAGAACCTTGCAACTTAATATAAGACCCTTGACCTGGCCTGGCAGCATACAGATAGCCAGTGTAAGCTTTTACATATGGGAGTTATGTGCTGGCAATTGTCTGTCACCATCAATAGTCTTAGCTGCTGCATTTTGTTCCAGATGGAATCTCTGGACCAGACCCAAGAAAAGAGTGTGCTTCACTAATGGAGTCTTGAGGGATACAGTGAAATAATGCATATCATTAAAGCAGAACTGGTGTTTGATATGCCTTGTGGCCATTTTACCTGTGTTTTCTACCAAAGAAAAGAAATCTCATTCAGAACTTTGGAAATCCTATACAGTGGTACCTCGGGTTACAGATGCTTCAGGTTACAGATGCTTCAGGTTACAGAATCTGCTAACCTAGAAATAGTACCTTAGGTTAAGAACTTTGCTTCAGGATGAGAACAGAAATTGCGCAGTAGCGGCAGCAGGAGGCCCCATTAGCTAAAGTGGTGCTCCAGGTTAAGAACAGTTTCAGGTTAAGAACGGACCTCCAGAATGAATTAAGTTCTTAACCTGAAGTACCACTGTATACAAAAGGAACTAACCAAACCTAACTGTTATTACTAACTGTTATTTGCTAGGTTTGCTCCATGACCTAGCCTTGCATTGCATTGCATCAACTTCTTAGCATTTTCTCCTTATAACTTTTTAAAATTTCTCCTTTATTTGCATTGAAGCAATTCCAAATGTTGCCTCTCCTTTATATATGTTACTGTCACCCACCTACCCATTTCATTCCCTTCCTTTTTCCAGGGACTGTCAAGTTTTGACACTGAGGTGTCATCATTTGACAGTAAAGTTGGCACCTCCGTGAAAGTAATAGCAGTAAGGGTTTGCACCCCAGTGCCACTAGTTCATGTTCTCTGCTTATCAGGATGACATAAATGTAATGACCACAGTACAATGACAATCTCATGGAGATGTTAGAATCTTACAAGCTGTGTTACATTTCACATTCCTTTCTTGGAATTCTCACAAATATATGTCTCGCAGGTCCTGTTAATTAAGCTGCTTTAGCTAAGGTCAACAGGGACAAATTCCAGAGGGACAGCCAAATAAGTTTGCTGCAAGAAAGAAAGAAAGAAAGAAAGAAAGAAAGAAAGAGAAAGAAAGAAAAGCAACTGTAGTACCTTAAAGAGACACACACACTCTCTTTCTCTCTCTTTCTCCTGGAATAAGCTACTGAGGTTTATTCATCTTTTTCTTTTTTTTAATGATAAGGTAGGGAATCCACATGATTTTAAAATAGTACTTTTGGAATTTTAAAATTAAAAGCTATGGGGAAAGTTTTCTTTGGCTGCCAAATTTAGCAAAAATATGTATTGTCTTGCATTGCCCTTTGGGATCTATGACATCTGCATCCATAAAAGAAAGGAATAAATGCTTATGGACTGTGGCTTTTTTAAGCAAAGGAAACATCAGGTCTGAGTTGAAATTTCTCTGTAAATAATTTTCCACACATTTTTGCCTTTCTTTCTGTATTTTGTTCCAATTGGAACTACTGGAGAATTTGAAATTCTGCTTGAGAATTTTCAATGAATATGGCCTCAACAATTTCACCATCAATGAATTTATATATAAAACCAGCTTGTTACATTATTATTATTATTATTATTATTATTATTATTATTAGTTAAAGGAAAAAATGAGCTTGGCTCTTACTTATTCCAATCCTTGTCTCTTAGCCTGTGACTTCCTTCATCAACCGATATTCACTAATGAAAGAGATTCATTCAATTTCTAAGCGGACCAGAATTTCTCAGACAATATTTTTCTTTGTTGAGTTCCTCTTCAACAGTGGGAGATGAATTTAAGGCCTCGCCTGGAGTATATTCAGGCCTTCTCTCACTTTCACTGGACACAAATAACATGGAGAATTTTGGCACTAAGTTCTAGAAAGCACATTATAGCAGAGCAAATTATGAAAGCCCATCCAGTAAATGTGTGGAAATATTGAGAACTTTTTGTTGTTGTTAATAACCCATTTGAGCAGCAAATTCCAGGAAAAGAATGAACAATTTAAGACATTATTTTAACTTTTCTAACCATCCATTATGCTATAGATTATAAATAAACCATGTAAAACATTATTTGCCAACCAGCATGATGCATTTTTTAATAGTTATAAAGGCTAGCTTAAAAGGAAGGTAAGAAACAAATCATGCAACAGGAAATGCAATTTCCCCCCAATTAAAATGAATTTTATTCAACTGCAGAAAACATGATAACTTAATAATTACTGAGAAAGCACCTGAGTATAAAAATAGCAGAGAATATTTTCCATCAATGGAAATCTGACACATTCATTAAATGACTGAGACAGGTATTCACGTCTTTCATTCAGATTTGTATTTCTGTGGTTTTGCATTCACTTTCTATCTGTGAGGATACAAATGGTTGACATCTGCTCTCAGGTCAGCCTTTATGCAAGGTTGTGATTCTCTCTGGGTTTTTTCAGTTTGGAAAAATAGAAGTGTCAAAGGATTTGAAAAGATAGGTGTTAACAACTTATTGGTAATTGGGCATATTTTGAAAATGTTAGCTGCTTTCAAATAAACACTCATGTTTCACAAAAGAGCATGAACATTAGATGATGAATCATTTGAAAAGCTGGCATAATGTCTGTAGCTGTAGGAAGTATGTGCCATTGAATTTTTAACCATGGAGCCAGCACTAAGTGCAGAGGCTGGAGGTGGATCAGAAGAGGTGATAGCCAGAATTTCAGGTTGGTGTGTGCTTAACTCTCCCTTTCCATTAGGATCAACGGAACTGAAAATGTAGTCAACATTGGCTAGATTGTAACTACTATTATGAGTTTTAAATGTGTTTAAAACTTTAACCTTCCAACAGTTTGACTCCACTCCCAAAGGCACATTCCTCCATTATCTCCTGAGACAGACCAATGCCAACAATAAGAGTACAGTGGTACCTCGGGTTAAGAACTTAATTCGTTCTGGAGGTCTGTTCTTAACCTGAAACTGTTCTTAACCTGGAGCACCACTTTAGATAATGGGGCCTTCCGCTGCCGCTGCACCGCCAGAGCATGATTTCTGTGCTCATCCTGAAGCAAAGTTCTTAACCCAAGGTACTATTTCTGAGTTAGTGGAGTCTGTAACCTGAAGCATATGTAACCTGAAGCGTATGTAACCTGAGGTACCACTGTATTTAAGTTTGGCTGGATCAGATAGTTAGGTCAGTAGAGCATGAGACTCTTCATCTCAAGTTTGTGGGTTTGAGCCCCACATTGGGGAAAAGGATTCCAGCATTACAGGGGTTTCGACTAGTTGACCCTCATTATCCCTTCCAAGTCTACAATTCTATGACTATATGAATTGAGTATAGTTATGAATTGAGCCAGTGAGAATGGAAGTTGGCAGGATGGTTTATGAAAATAATAACACAGTGATCCAATTAGGATGGGAAATGAAAAATCTTGAGCCTTGCTGATTTCAAGAAGATGAAATAGTAAAGAAATTGTACTCCCTACAAATTAACATGGTGGTAACCTCAGACCTCCAACACTTTTCCTGTTTTGGCAGTTGTTCTGTAGCACATGCACAAAGTTTAATGAGCACTCTCACTTTACATTGTGGGTGCCCTTTGTGGGATCGTGCATGGTGATAGAGTTCCCAGAGAGCTTACTGGCAAACAGGGTCTGGCTTGCCTCTCAGTGTTATTTTTTGGAGGCTCACGCCCAGCCTCAGTAGTCTAGTTTCATTGCTGGGAGGTGGGGCCAGTCCCATTTATAAATAGGAGGTGGAGCCGACAATAGCCAGACAGTTGGCTCTAGAGATTCACCCTCCCTACCCTCCTTTTGTTTAATTTTTCTTGTTTGTAGGTTAACTTTTTCTTCTGGTTTTGCGGGCGCTGCTACGGTCTTTGACTGGCTGCTGTTGAAGGACCAGGAAGAAATTTTCCTGCATTGGCAGGTTTTGTCTTCCCCGTAGCAATTCGTCACAACTTTGGTGGCTTATGGCCTTGGGTCGAATCCTTTAGTCTTTTCTTCCCTATAATGGGGGGGGGTGAAGTGGTGACTCACCCCCCGCAGCGGCGATTCCAGGGTCCCCTCTTAAAAGGGGTTATATAATGGGTGTCACTGGCCATACACTGAAAGGCTGTCAGTGAACTACCCTGCATGTGGGGATATGGGCTGGGCTGCCTGCTACACTTACGTCTTGCAGAGCACCCCCATATCCCATTTACCATGATGTGCCCCAGTCCCCCCAGCTGGGAGGCTGGGAGGAATACACGCCCAAGGCCTAAGCCAAGGTCTTCCTACATTCAGAAGTTTAATAAAGTTGCGGCCTAATTTTAATTCCATATAACATTGTCAGAGTCTTTATTCCTTCCTTATGATCCCTGGGGGCTGGGGGTGTCGCTGCCTGGTCACGCAATGCAAGTTCCTACTTTAAATTGGTGTCATTCTCACCTCTATAAAATCATGTATTAGGCTTTGAGTAAGGTGGAGGCAAAGTTAACACCCCCGTTCCCATGAATCAAACATTTTACAAATCTAATACTATGGTAAAGTGGCTTCGATCAAAGTCCAGGGGGGGAAATGACAAAACTTTGATCATAATATTAAATAAGTAAAGTGTTTTTTCCTGAAACAGGTTGGTAAACACTCCCCATGCTTTCCTCAAGGCTGAATATATAGCTCCACAATTTTTCCTTGCAGGTTTCATCTATTTGATTTTGCAGTGTGACCCACAGTTCATTTTTCAGCTGAGAGGCACATTTAGACTTCCTGTGAAGAATGAGCTTGGTTTATGAACTTCACAGGGCTGGTTCAGAGTTCACAGCTCCAGTAAACAGCCGGCTGCTCTTTTATCAAGAATTATGTTCAACCTTAACATCTCTGTTTTCGCTGATTTATCTCATTGTCTGTGTGCTATATAACTATTGATCTTTGTGATTTAATCTATTTATGCATCTATTTAAGTCAGCGTTTTCTCCAAAGGTTGAATAGATATTCTGAGTCACACTAGCAGGGATTCAAATGTTAGCTGGTATGTGGGTGCAACCACATCATTATACATATATATATATGTGGTAAGGTACCCCTGGACGGTTAAGTCCAGTCAAAAGCGACTATGGTGTTGAGGCGCTCATCTCACTTTCAGGTTAAGGGAGCCAGCGTTTGTCCACAGACAGCTTTCCAGGTCATGTGGCCAGCATGACTAAACCGCTTCTGGCGCAACGGAACACTGTGACGGAAACCCAGAGCACACGGAAATGCTATTTACCTTCTCACTGCAGCTGCACCTATTTATCTACTTGCACTCACGTGCTTTCCAACTGCTAGGTTGGCAGGAGCCGGGACAGAGCAATGGGAGCTCAGCCCATTGATGGGATTCGAACCGCCGACCTTCTTATCGGCAAGCCCAAGAGGCTCAGTGGTTTAGACCACGCCACCCGCATCCCTTGGCATCATTATACACACATGCGCACATGCGTGCACACACATGCATATTTGTGTGTCAAAACCAATGTAACCCTAAATGAAGTACAGTGGTACCTCGCGTTACATACGCTTCAGGTTACATACACTTCAGGTTACAGACTCTGCTAACCCAGAAATATTACCTCAGTTAAGAACTTTGCTTCAGGATGAGAACAGAAATCGTGCAGCGGTGGTGCAATGGCAGCAGGAGGCCCCATTAGCTAAAGTGGTGCTTCAGGTTAAGAACAGTTTCAGGTTAAGAACAGATCTCCAGAATGAATTAAGTTCTTACCCTGAGGTACCACTGTACTTTAGAATGAATTCCTTCGGGATTTTTTTTTTTAATAATTGAAGTGTATTGGCTCTCCTGGCTTGCCATTCCATGAGCTGTGCTAGTCAGCCCTCAGGCACTCTGCTTTTAGTTTCCGTTTCAGTTTTGCGTTACAAGTAGCAGGCTGCTGATTGGTTCTACCCTTCGTTAACCATTTGTATTCTGTTTATGCTTCTGTTGTACCCCTCCAGGCTGATTTTTTAAAAAAGGTATATTCGAAAACATGTCCTTGATAGTACATTAGTGGCAGATTTGTACTGGAGTATCTGCACAACATTAGCTTACTGTCCAACATTCCTCAGATGAAAATGGGGACATTTCTCAATCCTCACCCAATTGACCCTCCTCAACTTCCTGAGTGCCACCAGCACTACACCAATGGGACTCAGCACACAAGCCTTCCACTGTCCTGAGAAAATCCCTTAATCCTGATTTTATTTTATTCTTTGGTAGATAATAAATAATAATAATAATAATAATAATAATAATAATAATAATAATTTATTTATACCCTGCACATCTGGCTGAGTTTCCCCAGCCACTCTGGGCGGCTTCCAATCAAGTGTTAAAAACAATACAGCATTAAATATTAAAAACTTCCCTAAATAGGGCTGCCTATTCTGCTTCTCCCAGTGGTATTGCCAGGATCCTATAACTGAGACCTAGATTGTGATGCTCTGTACCATTCAATATATTGTATATGCAGGAAACCCCACCTTTTATTTTAGAATTTGCACTGGATTAAGATGATAGCTGTATTCTCAATGAAATTTCAAAGTCCCCAAACCACCACCGTCCAGAAGACAGTAGTTCTTTAAGCCAGTGCTGAACTTCAACACTGTTTGAAAAGAGGAAACAAAATAGCCTTTTCCCCTTAAAAAAGAATACCACTTAACAGTCCACAGTACCAATTAAAGGATTATTGTAGAAATCACAGCTAAAACAGCTTTCTCAACATTCAACATGTGTGCACAATGCTAAGCCCTATGCTAACTGAAAAGGGGACTGGAAAACCAGTGGAATGGAATCAAGTGTCTTTGAAAAGAGCCTGGTTGACTGGCTGGAACCCTGATCAAGATCAAATCACAGTGCAGCGTTTTGTTGCAGATCCAGTTTGTTTTTGGTTTAATCGTGGCACCGTCACAATGTTCATGGCACATTATGTACCTTTGTAAGCAAAGGCATGCCCTTGCCCCCAAGGAGCTTCCTGTTAAAGGTCAGGCAATTTAGCTTATTGCTATTCTTCCCTCACAAAATGGGGCACAATTTGGACTGGCTGCCTTAAGGCACCAAACATGCTTGGGTCCATCTCTGAGACCAAATGAGTTACACTGCATGCCGACATTTTAAAAGAATAGGGGGGGAAAGGGGGCTAGGTTTTGTTCCCTTCCCTGCAGAATAAGCAGAATACATAATAAGGACTTGCTGAACTGTGTAGAATCGATTTTGCTTTGAGAACAAAGACATTTATAACTCACTTGTGGCTTTGTCTAAAGCAGAATTATGAAGTGTTCCTGTTATTGGGGAAAGCACTGCAGGACTTTAGCCTGGCCATTTAAACGTGTAAGCATTGAGGTCTGATCCTCATAGTAAAATGAAGCTCAAGTAACACTGAACATATAGTGAACATAATTGCTCGTTTCCGTTGGACATAAAGGGTGAGCAAATCACAAACAGAATGTCATAAACTTGGTCTTTATAGGCACACTATCTACAAACAGGGACGTGGGTGGCGCTGTGGGTTAAACCACAGAGCCTAGGACTTTCCGATCAGAAGGTCGGTGGTTCGAATCCCCGTGATGGGGTGAGCTCCCATTGCTCGGTCGCTGCTTCTGCCAACCTAGCAGTTCGAAAGCATGTCAACGTGCAAGTAGATAAATAGGTACCGCTCCGGCGGGAAGGTAAACGGCGTTTCTGTGTGCTGCTCTAGTTTGCCAGAAGCTGGCCACATGACCTGGAAGCTGTACGCCGGCTCCCTCGGCCAATAAAGCAAGATCAGCGCCGCAACTCCAGAGTCGGCCACGACTTGACCTAATTGTCAGGGGTCCCTTTACCTTTATCTACAAACAGTTAGCAATCCTTACATGGTTTTCAAAGGCAGTTAGATATTATAAAGGGTATAATCAAATCAAGCACCCAAGTCATTCAAAGAAATTGGATTTTAAGAGGCTATGGGCAGATGAAATATTTTCAAAGTAATGAGAGAGGTATGATCCTGCCTCATCCGTCCATACTACGTCCTATTCCCCTCCCCCTGACCTGCTGTTGACACTGGCCAGAGACGTTTTGCAGGCTGAAGGCCTCAGAAAGAAAGTTTTAACATCAGCATAGGCCACAAGGTGGTCAGGAGGACTGTGATCTTGTATCCTGGCTTTTTCAGGCCAGAGGACAAATCCATTGTCTATCTCATTGGCAGGTAAATTGAGATAAATTGCCATCTTGCTGGCATAAAGCAAAAACAACCCAATATCCCATGTCGC